GGCGCAACACTGAGGGTTGCGATCCGTTGCCGGTCACGAAAAAAGACAAAAAAAAGGGGGGAAAAAAAAAAAAAAAGAGATACGGATTTCACAGTATGCGGCCTAGCTCCAGAGACTGGATATTGTGCCCAAGACACATAAGGCTGGCACCACCACAAATCCTACTTCTAAGGCCAATTCTGTGGCCCTCCAATAAAAATGGTCTTTCTCCTTTCCTCCTCCTTATCCCATTCAAAAGCACAGACCTTCAGTCAAAAGGACAGTAGTGGGGCACTGGGGTTAGAGAATTCAACCAAAGATAAAGACAATAAGTCAATCTGTGAATCAGCTAAATCAGAGTTTAACAACATAGATCATACACAGTATAGGATCTGTGTGGAGAGAAAGAAATATTCAAAACATGGTCTTTGCCCTTTGGTGATACTGGTGAATATAAGGAGAAAAAGAAAAATATACAAAATAAAGAATAGCACAAAACAATACATAGCAGGTGCTAAGTCCAGAGTTGATTCAAGATAAATTTTTGTAAGTATAAAATTTAGATCATTATTTTAAAAAGAAAATAAAAATTACTCCTAATTAATCCACTCAAACACAACTATAGGTAACATTTTGATGAATTTCCTTCTAGCCTTTTTTCTAAGTAAATTTATTAATATAATTGGGCCCATACAATATAGTTCTATATTCTGCTTTTGTCCCACTTAACAGTATATATATGTGTGTGTGTGTGTGTGTGTGTACACTTTTTTTTTTTTTTAGGTGGCTGGCTGGTACAGGGATCCAACCCTGTGACCTTAGTGTTATCAGCACCATGCTCTAACCAGAACAGTATATTCTGAATGCATTCTAGTCTAGGATTTTTCCAAACTGCACCCTACTGGATTGTGTTTTAAAAAAGCATTCCAGGAGTTCGTACTTATGTTGTGATATCATTTAAATAGGCTCAACACATTAATGCATTAATTTTTCTTATTTTATCTTTATAAATTATTATTATACTACAAATTATATTTCTATAGAGTAAACTATAGGGTTAACCTTATAGAAATATATTTGCTTCTAAGAGCAAACGAGACTCATACCAGGAAAAAAAAAATGAGCTGTCACCTCTAGAAAAAAATTGCATCTGTTTCCTTGAATCTCGTCAAAGACAAACATAAAGTAGAAATGCCATTGTTACCCCCACCATGTCTCTGCCATTAGTGCTCTAATAATTACTATCCGTACAACTTATGTAAAATTTAATTATTATTAAACATCACCATTTAAAATGGATCGCTGTTACCAAATGTAAACTCTTGCCTGGATCGATATTTTTCTTACATAAAGGTTCTTTCACATCCATAAGCCATTCAGAAATGACATCGATATGGTTTATCCTGCATTGTATTTAATTTTGTCAGTACAAGGTACAGTTACATGGTATAGGAACTAAAAGAAAAAAAAAACCAAAAACACTAACACTCTAGAATTGTGTCCCTGTTATTAGTGAAGTCTCCAAAATAGGGGCAGGGAGGGGGAGGAAAGCTTAACAAAAAGGAACTAAGGAGTTACACTATACAGTTTATACAGATTATAAATAAAACACGTTGTAAACTGTTTGACATTTATTTCACACTAACTGTGCAGAGAACTGAATTGTGTAAACTACAAAAGGAAATAAATGGAGGTATCAAGGTTTTCCTGGATCTAGATCATACTTAATTCATAACCCTGAACAAAATACGCTTGAAAACTAGGCATATTGACTAACTGATTGAAAGTTAATTTCTTCCACAGAGAAATGTGCAGCTGACACTGCTGGTTGTTTCCTCCTCTCCTTCCTTGCCACCAGAGCCCACCCCCGTCACCAGCCACTTACAGATCCTCACTGCCACAGCCTCTCTTGCAGCTAAGAGTGGCCACATGACAGGTTCAGACCAGTGTACCCTAAGGGGAAGTTACTCAAGGGCCTTCGGGGAAGGATCTTCTTTTCTAATAGAAGGAGAGCCTTGTAGAGCAGATCCTGCCACTCTTCCTGCCCTGGCAGCCACCCAATGTGAAGATTCAGCAGTGGAAGGCCCCAGGTAACCAGAGGGGAATGAATCCAAGAGCCTAAAAGCCGACCTGCAGGCCTAACGTCTTTGAGTCACAGATAGAACCAATGTTGAAATTCCTGCTTCTAGATTGCTGATATGTGAGATGTCCTTCTTGACTAAGCCAGTTTTACTTAGGAGGTCTTCATTGCATCTGAGAGCTCCCAAAATAATGCACAATGCATCCTACATTAAAAGAGTTTCAACATCTGGTGAGTATTCCATAGTGAATGAGAAAAAAAATCATCTATCAATTTTTAAAACATATTTTAGAATAATTATAAAGTTAAATAATGGCAGCGCAGTCACTATTTTCAAAAACGGCGGCTGCACGTACAGTGAGCGTCTGAGTCTAGCCAGTGGCACCTGTTCACTTCAGTTACCTCCGTGCATTCGTACCTCAGCCCTGTTACAGCAGACACAGCAAAGAACGCTTCCTTCCAACAGAAGCCTTTTTCTGGTGGTGGAGAAAATACTAGTGGGAAGAAGAAGACCTTTAATAAAGTTTAGTGTTAGAATGGAAGAAAATAAAAATAATTTAACCCATTTTAATGCTAGTAGAGACTGAAGTAAGACCAGTTCACTTTTCATTCCCCTTCCATTTATGGAGTGGGTGACTCAAGACATAATCCTTTTAAAGACAGATTTTAAAATGCCAAGATTCCTCAATATGACCCTATCAGGGTAATATCAGTTTTATATTCTCTAATGAAATACTACTCAATAACTTTTCTGGAAGAAAATAAGCTTTTAAAAGAAATAATTGGGACCGGTTAGCTCAGTTGGTCAGAGTGCGGTGTTAAAACACCAAGATCAAGGAAAACAGCCAGCTGCTGCAATCAATCGATTGATCAATCAATCAATCAATAAGTAAATAAATAAATAAATAGATAGATAAATAAGTGAATGAATGAAACAATTGGCATTTTATATAATACCTGAGAAATTTCATTAGTTATTAAAGAACTCTCCATTTACTCTTTGGAACATAACATTTTATTGGTACGTGTTACACCCTCTCGTTACCGAGATTCTTATATTGGATTTTTAAACGGTAACCCATTGAAACATAACTTCCCCAAAGTCTCTTAAATTTGAAACAGTGTAGTCTCCTGTCTAACTTGGTATCCAATGTTTTATGAAACCTTCCCTCCTCTGAAGCAGATTCGTGCCTTCAACTGTTTATATTACTATGCTAGTGGGCCATTCAGTAACAATATATCTATTCAGAAATCCCTTTTAAAAACTTTCCTACATTATTTATATCACTACTAAAACTATTTCCACTCTCCTTAAAAAAAAAAAAAAAGCTGCTTTACATACAAAGAAAATATCATTATTTAGCCAGCAAAGTTGATTAATGGTTCTAATTTCTTTTAGCTGACCCATCATTGCCTTTATTACACTAATTGGCTTCCTCTCTCTTTTACTCTGAAAGACTGTCAAGAAGCCATTTAATTTAATAGTACATTTAAAATGCTATTCTTGTGTTCTCTCAACTAAAAGTAAATTTTTCATGATTTTTTTTCTTTTGTTTTTTTTTTTCATGATTTTTATGTAAGTGGTTTTAATCTCACAAATCGGTAAGATCCTCCAAATAGCTAATAACAGGAATTTCTAAAAGTCTAAACTTGTCTGCTTATTTTTTCATGCAAGCTTAATATACTTACCAAAAATTTCCACATTCCACATCATCAAACCTTTCGTCTTGTCTCAAAAGAAAAAAAAAAANCATGATTTTTTTTCTTTTGTTTTTTTTTTTCATGATTTTTATGTAAGTGGTTTTAATCTCACAAATCGGTAAGATCCTCCAAATAGCTAATAACAGGAATTTCTAAAAGTCTAAACTTGTCTGCTTATTTTTTCATGCAAGCTTAATATACTTACCAAAAATTTCCACATTCCACATCATCAAACCTTTCGTCTTGTCTCAAAAGAAAAAAAAAAAAATTAATGCCAATTAAGAGCCAAAATCAACTATTCTCAGCCTCGATTTTCAAATGTCAGTTTGTTTTTACGTAATTCTAATAAATTTATATAGTGTAATTCTAAACTTCACTATTTGACATTTCCCTGCTGAAGAAAAGCAGTAGAAACTTTTCACCATCTGTGTTGCTTTTGGAAACTAGCCCCTCCCATCTGCTGTCCCGGCATTGCAAAGCTCCTGCCGGTCCTTAAGGGGGCTTTGTCGTCACCGCTGGGATCCGAACTCTAATCCGGGAATTACCTGCAGCTAAATATTCTGGAGAATAGCCTTCTGTGAACAAGGTACCAACTAAAAAGATAGGCGACTTTCTACATTCAACATACCACAAATGAGAATACAGACGGGGGCGGGGGGGGGAGGGAATGTCATCGATTTAAAAAAAAAAAAAAAAAGAGCAAGTAAAGGTCGAATCTGCAGTTTTCCATAGCCCATTTTCTGCTGAATCAGCTAATATTTCTGAAGCCTTTGAATGTTAGATTCCTATGGAGATTAGTTTTTCCAAAACAAAAGTGGGAAGGAAATGTTGTTTTTCAGTATAAAAAGGTTCTAACTAGACTTCAATTTTTTTTTTTTTAAAGGTGAGGTATATAACTATAGCTGGTGGTGGACATGACATGCCTAAGAAGGGCGACAATACAGAACTTGCCCCAAACGGGCGGGGGGCGGGTGGCTCTGGCTGTCTGCCTGCAATGTGGTTCATAATAAGGTTGCTAAACCAAACTAGAGAGGACAGGAGGAAGATATAGATTCCATCAGCTCGAGCAATCTACAAATACTGCTAGTTACTTTTGTGCTGTGACAAGAGTTGATTTTAAACAGATACCCGCCAACCACCACCGCGACACCCCCCCAAAAAAAAACCCAAACACACCTGAACTGGCCTGAAATGTGCCTTTAATTCTTTTTCTCTGTCCCCACGCCCTGGGCAACTTTTGCTCTCTAGCTCTACCTGTCCCTGGTATGAAACCTGACAAATAGCAAAAATCTCGAAACAAAAAAAAAGGAGGCGGGGGGGGGGGGGGAGAAACGTAGAGACAGAACGCATTTTGCCACCCTCCTGGCTAACTGAAATGCTTGTTCCCGAGATTACAGTAATTACAGCCCCAGCATGAGTTCCACACAAGCGCTAAATGAAACAGCACATCAATTAAAAAATAAACACTCCATTCTCGGAGAAAGACAACCCCCTGGGACGTCCTAACAAGCGTAAATGAACCTGCCAGGCCGCTCGCCCGCGCCCCCCTCCCCGGGCCAGCCTTAAGGTGGCTGCGGAGCTGGCCGGGACACGGCTCGGTGGCGGCGTCCCAAGTGGCTGCTAAAAGCGACTGGATCCGGCTCCGGCTCGGTGCAGATCGCCGAGACGTGTCCGCGCGGCCCCGCCGGGGGGCAGCCCCGCCTCCCACGGTCGAAAAGGAGGCTCCGGCGAAAGCACGTGAGCTGTGAACAGGCGGATGCATATTCTAAACGTCGAGGCGAAGAGAGAGAATCCAGCGGCAGAGTTTCCGGCCTGTTCTGTTTATAAGTTTTTGTTTTGATTCAATTTTCAAGGAGAAATTGAATTGTGTTTCATAAGAAAGCACTTGCGTCTCGGATGACTTGTACATTGTATATATAAATATATAAATAGTTATCAAATCCCCTTTTGAGATCTGGGCTGTGATTATCCCACTCTCCGGGTAAGAACCCGAGGCGCCCCCGGGTCACTCAGCGGACGCAGGGGGGGGAGTCTCGGGTGGGCCCTTGCGCCCCGATGCCCTAGCGCACCCGCGGTGGGGCTCCTGAGCGCCTCGTCTGGGCCGCCCGCAGTCCAGCCCCACCATCTAGAAGGAACTACATTCGCTACACTCCCCCCAACCCATCTCCAAGCCTCAAAAACCATCATTCTGAGAACCCCAAGAAGGACACGGGTTCCCCGCACGCCGGGCCCGGGCAGTTCCCCATCGCCAGGTCACCCACATTCGTGGAGGGTAGCAGGCGGGGGCTTGACTGCTTTGAAATTGGCAGCGTAGACACGCGCTGCCTCAAACCCGGTCCCAGTCCCCAAGTGCAGACTCAGGGAAATGGAACCAAGACCTCAGACGCACACGGCGCCTAGGGAACAGAAGTGGCAAACGCTCCATTTCCGCGGTCAATCCCAAGGTTACAACTCTCAGTCCGCAGAAAGCGCGCACGGCCACGCGGACGTTCCGGGCTGCCTTAAGGCAGGCTGTCTTGGGAGCGTGTAGGCCCCGCCCCCTTGTCCGGCGATTGGCCCGCCGTGCGGGGGGCGGAGACCGAGTCCGCGCTGTATAAATATTCATGAGCCGGCCGCGCGGCTCTAGCAGGGCTGGAGCCGGGAAGTTGGGCGAAAGGCGCTGCTCCTGCCTAGGAGGAGGCGGCGGCTGGGCGCGGGCCGCGCCGCTCAAGTGTCCGCTCCGCCTTCTGGTCTGGATTTCCTTCTGTGTGTCTAGCGAGGAGGGGACTACCTGCACCTCGCCCGATTGCGGCTGGAGCGCGGCGCGGACTTTTACCGGAGGCAGCTCCTTCTGTCCCGGCGGCGGACGGACCGACGGACGAACGCCGAAGAAAGAGGGCGGCGGCCTCCGCAGAAGCTGATCCCGAACTCCGGCGGCTGCGGCTAGACTTGGGGCCGGGCATGAGCCCCCGGGGGCCGAGAGGGGGCCGCAAGGGTTGACCCGCACGGCGAGCAGCCTGGCCCAGCCATCTTGACTGCGCACCGCGGCCCGAAAGGAAACTTGCTGCGCCGCCGCCCTCCGTGCCTGGCAAAGTCGCCGCCGCCAAGCGCCACCCGAAGTGGCCGGGAGCGCGGGAGAGGAAGCGAGCGAGTGCCGGACGATGAGCCGAGGGTCGGCCAGTCTGCTCCGCGAGGGCTGAGCGCGACCCAGCGTGTGCAGGGCAGACTGTGGCGCGCCCCTGCAGCCACCTTCAAATCCCCGGAGTGGCGAAAAGGAGGTGTGGACGGCCCCTACCCAGGCTTCGGATCACGCCGCTGCAGACGCGCCCCGAGACGGGGCTAGATTATCGGCAGACGTCCCCCCACCCCAGCCCACACCCCAAATACATACTGCCGGGAGAGGGAGGAGAGAAACCAGCAGTCACCCGCTGTTCCCCTCTTGAGCTCTCTCGCCGGTCCCCCGGCATCTCTCCGCGCGCCGCCTGGAGGACGAGGGCGCGGGGCCGAGGTGCGCAGCATGGAGTGGGGTTACCTGTTGGAAGTGACCTCGCTGCTGGCCGCCTTGGCGCTGCTGCAGCGCTCAAGCGGCGCGGCGGCCGCCTCAGCCAAGGAGCTGGCGTGCCAAGAGATCACCGTGCCGCTGTGCAAAGGCATCGGCTATAACTACACCTACATGCCCAACCAGTTCAACCACGACACGCAGGACGAGGCGGGCCTGGAGGTGCACCAGTTCTGGCCGCTGGTGGAGATCCAGTGCTCGCCCGACCTCAAGTTCTTCCTGTGCAGCATGTACACGCCCATCTGCCTGGAGGACTACAAGAAGCCGCTGCCGCCCTGCCGCTCGGTGTGCGAGCGCGCCAAGGCCGGCTGCGCGCCGCTCATGCGCCAGTACGGCTTTGCCTGGCCCGACCGCATGCGCTGCGACCGGCTACCGGAGCAGGGCAACCCTGACACGCTGTGCATGGACTACAACCGCACCGACCTCACCACGGCCGCACCCAGCCC